ATGGGACCTTCAAGCTGAGGCATCTGCATTTAGCAAAGGCTATCTGGTTAGTTAACACCAGAGGTTCAATTAACTGAAGTGGCCCAGTCGTTACCTCTGTGCACAGTAGATGGAGATAATGTCTCATGACATGTATGAGAGCTGTGTCAGGAAAGACAGTTTGTGTCAATCGCACTTCAAGCTAAGGCAAACCCAGCCATGGGACTGTTTTTATTCAAGGACTTGGTTACACTTGGTAGGTAATGCAGAGGGACAGGGAAACATGTCATGTACCTCAAGGGGATTTGAGTAAGAACAGTCTGTAACATTAAATTGCATATGTAACACTTGTTGCTGAATGGTAATGCCACTCCATGTTGGAAATAACATGAACAATGAGAATGAACTGCTCCTATTAGATCAGTCATGGATCAATAGAACTCAATCCACATCTTGGGGAGCAATCTTAAATAATTGAGTGACTACTTAAATAATACCTGTATTTGTATATAGTTGTTTGTATGTGTATATGTATATAGTTAAAAGATATTAATTGGGACATGACATAGATGACATAGAATAAGGAGTGGCTAAAGCCTTGGGTGGGTGACCCAAAAAATGTGAATTGTATTCCACTATTTCTCTATGTCAGTTCATGCAGTTTGTGTTACTGTCCCATTACGACCCAGGGATCAGAAGTGGATCTGGAACCAGTATTTTGGGTCCATGGAGACTGGAAGTGCCCCTCTCTTTAAGAGTGGGGGAACACAGACAGACTCTCTTTCTTGTTTCTCTATGGGAGTTTCCTGGGGCATACTCTCTGGGCCAGGGCAAAGAGAAGCAGAAGCATTCTTTAGCTTCTCTCTGAACTCCATGGGAAATTGCCTGGTGCAGGTCTCCGAGAATTTGTCGACATTTGTCAATCCTAGACTGTTTTGGAGGAAACGTCCTAACAACTTTTTTGGTCACAGTTGCCACAGGCAATCCCTGTCCCTGCAGGTGGAAAAGGACCTTTTTTTGAGACCTTTGCTTTTGTTACTGCCACTCAGAACAGTCATGCTGTGAAAATTGATCCTCCCCTCTTCCTCCATGAGTTACAGCTGCTGCCCCAGTGATGGGCAGCAACTGTTGATACAGCTGCCACCACTAGGACAGACCTTGTCAGGTGGTATGGAACAAATGGTTCAGCAACATTTGACTGGTTTTGAACAATAGCTCTCCAAATTCTCCAGGTTTCTGTTGTTTTATCCTTGTTTCCCCTTCATTGTTTGGGGCAAAGGGAGTTTTGTAATCATGGATGTTCAGTTGTAGCATTGGGGTTTTTTAACTTTGCGCTCTCTCTATCACATAGTTAGAAGAATGGATCTCCACCATCTTGTCTTTGTCATCTGGCTCATGCAGTCTTCCACAAAAGTCTCCATATTGGGGAGGGGGTAGGGGGCTTCTCTTCATCTTGTTTTCTTTGTTCTTGGGGAGTCCATAGGATTCAGAACCTTTGTATCTAGTGGTTATTACTGTTATCTCGATTATGGCTGGCTTTATTTTAGCAAACTTACTTTTCAACTTATATCTTTTTGCATTTGTCTCTCTTTGTTGGTGACAGAGGAGTGGTTAAACTGAAAAAAAAAAAAGGTTGCTTGTTTCCCAAGCTCCACCCCATAAATTATCTCTTAACCATCTAACACTTCTCAAGAAAAACCATCCAGTTCTGGTTTCAGAGTTGAATGCAACACCTGTGTGGCAATCAAGGAACTGCAGAAATGCAGATCATAGCCACAAAATGTTGTTCCCAACTGTGAGCAACTCTACAGTTGTTGAAACTTGCCTAAAAGACATAGCAAGAGCTGCACTACACCTTGTTAGCTTGCACCTCTCTCTTCTATACTACATCACACAATACACACTGGTGGCATAATTTTTTTTTAGGTTTCTCACCGAACTGAGATAATTCAAAGGATAATTCCACTTCTCTAAGAAAACAAAAGCCAAGATCTAAAGATGCTGATCTCCACCAATCTTTAGAGCAAATGAGCTAAGCCGGCTTACACAGAAACCCACAGACAATGAAGTCTGCTAACAGCGACAAGAATTTACAGAAGTCTAAAACAGGAAAACTTACTGCACAGTTACAATACTTATGTCTCCTGAACTGATCTATGTGGCTAATTGTGTTCAAAGTCTCAGAATTTTATTATTACAGAAATTAATAGGAAAACACTACATTAAAAAAATATCATCATTGGCTATTTCTTGCTATAGGTATAAAACTCAGAAAATGCATGTGTTCATCCTGAGTGCATAGGAATAAAATTTTACAGGAAAATTTTACATGATTCCGCAACCATGCACGCACTATTAATCATGAAACAAAAGCATATGACCAAAGTCAGCAGAAAAAAATTATAGTTTCTCACCACAATCTTGAAACTAATGAAAGCGATTGACATAGAGGCTTCAGAATTATTTGAGGGACAAAACACCAGGCAGCTTTACTGAGAAAGTCAGTTTTGAATTCAGTTACTTTCTGAAGTTGTACTCCTATAAAAAGCTAAACAACTAAACATTTTGCAGATATCTTTTTATTCAACCTTTATTCAACCTCTTTATTTTAATTATTACTTTTATTTTATACTTGGCAGTAAAGATTTCAATAAACTGCATGGAACTTACTAACAATTAAATACAGTGTTAAAAAAGACATCTGTAACATTATATTGGAAAATAGAAGTTCAATTTGCAGTTTATTTTATTAGCTTATTGTGATCTGGCTTGGTTAGAGATTTTTCATTTTATAACTTGCACAAATAGGATTCACAAAATGCAGCAACTCAATTAATTTTCAAATATTTAATAAGCACCAGAGAAATACATATATTTCTCAGTGGAAGAAAAAAAACCCATTGTTTAAGCACTAGTAAGCATTCAACTCCTTTCTTCTTGACTGTAGCCCAAAAGTTCTCTTCCATTGTCATCTGCTTTCCTTACAAAACCCATGGCCATTGATTTTTCAGCTGTGAAATGTGTCACCAATTTTCTACATATATTTCCTGAAAATACATTCCCTAATTAGATGACAGAATACCAAAAAGTTATAAAATCTACACAGATATCTACGATTGCAGATCATCAGATCTTCTTTTCCCAGTAATGTGAAAAAAAGGAGCCCAGTTCATAAAGGTATTCAAGAATTTATATTCCAAAAACATTACTTAGGCCTTCTGCAGAGGGAGATTTATCAGTCTGCAAAAGTGAAGTTTAATTTGGGCATATCATGTTAGTTGCCCAAATCATCCTTCAATACTGAGGGTCCTACTTTTGAGTCTTAGAATGGGGAAACTCTGGGCTTCTTGGGTTTTATTTTTCAACACCTCAGATTTTGCTGAAGTCAGTTGATGTTTGCAGTGCTTCCCAAACGTTTGCCTATGGGATTTTGTAGTGGGAGTCAAAAGAAAAAGCACATAGAAATCACAGTGTTCTGGAATTACAGCACTTCCACACAATGCCCTTTATTCTTCAGCACTGCTGTTTGATCACCAACTATAAAATCATACTTGAGAGAGAACAAATAAGCAACGCAAAGCACTGAATATTTTTGCTCAGGCAGTTAAAATATTTTTAAAGGGATGGGTTGATCTTTGAAACTTTGGTTCTAAGTACATTGTATCAGCAGAACATACATATTAGCACTACAGAATCAATGAGAAAGATCTGAAACTGGCTTTGATTCAATCAAAACCTTTAAACAGTTTAAAGTTCAAAAGCAGGCCATTTACTTAAAGCCAGTATCTATGCAATGAACCATACTTAATTAGCTGCTCCACTAGAAACCGTGGCTGTTCCTTGTAGACAGTGGCTCTAAGACTGATGTTTCTAGTCACTTTGTCCCTTATGTTTCCTCACTAACATTAAACAAAGCAGTAATTTTCTGCCAATATTTGACAAAGCATTTCCATATGTACACAAAATAGACTTTTACATCACAGTGGAGATATTTTCATTCTGTTTCTTCTTGCTGATCATCATGACACTATTCTATGTATTGGTTGGTAGAATTTTCAGGACACTCCTCCACAACATTGACTGCAATCAGCACTGCAAGTTCCTGTTTTTTGACTATATAATCACATCACTGTTGACAAGTTAAAATAAATAGAATCACATCACTGTTGACAAGTTAAAATAAATAGGAAACTCAGGCTAAACACATTAGCAAGCAGAGCCTTCACTGACCATTTTGGTAGAAGTCAGCCCCAGAGACAGGCTTATTTCCCCACATTTATATTAAAATTAGATTAAACAGCTTCGCAGCACTATGTTACATTTAAGAATATGTAGAAGACGTATGTCACATAGGATTTCATAAGCTGCTTCCTCTCCCATGAAAAAGATCATGGGGCTGGATCCTTCCTGTCCATCACACTAGGCTATTTTTAAATTATCACCCCTTGTAATTCACGAAAAACAGAAAACTCACTTTGAACTGTCTGCTATTGGAAAGTTAATTATGGGCTCATTTTGGCACATAAATCATGTATTTAATGAGGCTTATTTTAAATTACAGCTTCTTAAATCTCCTAAGCATATGTAGTAGGTCTATGCTCCCTGGACTGGATTATGTTTTGCATTGAGTCCCATTTATAATTTCCAGACAGGAAGTGTTAAATTAGATAAAGGTTATATTTATGCTTTAGGACAAAGAAACAGCCGAATAGGTCTACACTCAATTACATGTGTACAAAGAGTGTCTCTGTGATACTTAATAATTATATGGGAGTCAACCCATATATATGTCCTGGGTTGACAATATACTATAACCCATTGTCACGAAGTCTAGTCTCACTATCAGAAATGAAAATTGAAAGCAGGAGTAAAAAAGACAAACACCTTTTAAAGTTCTTTATCTTGTAGTATAGAAAGACTAATATGTAATATACAATAATGCATATTTGTATTCTAACAAGACAATACCAGTCTATGGTGGTACTGCAATATTCCTAGGCAGCCACCATGCTCATTTTTACCTCCAATCATCCTTTGAGAGATTAGATAAAATGTTCATCTCTTCATCATCTTGCAAAAGGTGATATGCCGCACTAACGTGATGATTTTCAAGCACAGACCGGTCATTATATAGAATGGCTGAGTCCGACCTAGCACTTAAAAGAAAACATGGGAAAGGTTGTTTTTTCCTGTCTAAAGAGACTCAGAAGTTTTCCTTAGATCAGCTACAGCAATTAAGTCTTTAGAATAGATATGAGCATTTTAAAAGTTCTTGTAATACTATGTTAATTGCTGTTACTAAGTAAAAGAAATCTAAAGAACACTACAAAATCTATTTCACCAGATGAGAATCACCTAACTGCCTTGTTACACACTTGAAAATAAGTACTGAAAGCTGTGAGAGATATGTAAACTTAGAGTAGAACCATGAGGTTTTTTCCTAGCTCTTATGGATGTCTCTTTGATATTAAAATCTGACTGTACCCACGTAAGCAATTGCAAGACATGACCCAATACTGTTTCCAGAACAGCAAACTGGCTGTAAGCAAGATATAACTCAACTGATTTCTGACATCTGTGTGTTAGACTATGCTGTCTGGAAAGACAATTGCCAGTGGGACAGAGTAGGACCAAAGATACTTCATGCCTGATTTTAAGTCCCAGAGAAGAGATCTGTGATTGATGAATGGGTAAACTGGTTTGATGACAAAGAAGTTAACAGCAAGAGAGGCTGGATATGTTTTGTTACAGTTCTCACTCATATCGGCTTCACAGAGAGCAGTGTATCTTTTTATCCTCTAACACTTCACACCATCTGATGTTCAGTGCTAGAAAAATTAAATTACATCCTTCCTTGAATATTTTTACGTGTATTTGGAAAGTACAGCAGATCCCTAATTCCTATATGCATGAAGTCGTAAGATGAGCAGTGTGGTTTCACCCAGAATAGAGACAGAGACTTCTGTCTACATTCCCGGTCTTTACTGTGCGTATGTGTGCTTTATCCTGAAAACCAATATTGATGCAAAGCATGATTCAGCTAAGACACTACAAACAACTATTTTAATTACAGACATGTAATCTATTTTAATTACAATGCATTTAAAAATGCCCAAGTGTGCAGTGTCAGCTGAGGAGATTTAGACATTTTGGCATTTCTGCCAGTACACTCCTATTGTCAAAATGATATACAGATATTGGATGTCCAATTATCACTGAAACTAGAGACTTCATAATCTTTGCACACTTCTGAATTTTGCTGCCATCTTCATCTTATTTTCCTCTTTTCCACCAACCCAAAAGCTTTATAAAATTCATAGGACCAGTCAAGTTTTTTATCAGTTAATTATGCTCTAGCAATTTATGATGCTTTTAAAAAGTATTTTTCTGATTAGGTAGTAGTAAGATTATCCCCTTGCTGCAGGTGTGGTTTTCCACTCAAGAGAAAATAGTACGTGTAGTATTCATGTTCACTGATGAATGCAACAAACATGGCTGAATGCCTGATTTACGCCAATATTGTTTGAATCCTCAAATTCAACAAGGAGAAAAAAATGTAAAATCATAGTAGCTCCTTCAAAACTTCATATTTGTCAAAATATATCACTCTATACAGCCTTTTCTTTTTGAAAACTTTACATGGAAATATTTTTGGAAGTTTCTTTTTCCTGGTTATTAATATGAAACAATGCTCCAGAATTTAGAATACATGAATTCCATTGTGAATGTTTGAACAAAAGAAAATTAAATGTAACCTGAGAAAGTTAACTTTCTTCCTGAAACACTTGAAAGCAGAAGTTCCTGAACTTTTCTAAGGTGGCTGTGCTGCTGTTCTCCAAAGATTTCTCCCTCTATTTCCTGACCCTTCATGATTTACAGTGGCCTCACCTTGTCTGGATGTGAAAATTGTTGGTGGTTCCAGTGTGTTCATAGTCATGTATGGCAGCTGCAAAAATCATAGCGAAGATCTCCAGCTCTGTCAGCCAGTGCTGAAAAGAGATTACAGTACAATCAGGTAAGTTGTCATTTTTGCACGCTTTTGTCTTTTGAGGTAAGTTATTTATCCTCTGTTGACAGTCACTGTTGCATGTCATTACCTTTCCCCTGAAGTCTGCCAGCTGTTCTAAAGAAAACTCTCTGGTTGATACATAAAAGCCAAACCAGTGTTCATCCTGGACCTTCATCTAAATAAATTGAGCTTCAGAAAAATTGTTTCCGGAGCTAATAAGGCAGAGCAAGGGGAACTGTGCCTTTCTGAAAGAGAAATGTTTCAAAAACAGAAACAAGGAAAATTCAAGAAAATCAAGGTTCATCAAGGGGAACTTGATCATGTATGTGCAGGTAAACACATACCACCAGGGTATGTATTTTCAGTTCAGTTTATTTGAGTAGCAGAGACTCAGAAACAGAAGAATGTCACTATTTTCCAGAAAACTAAAAATCTGTGTCAATCACTGAATCATGAGGAGAACAAGGAAGATTACCTCAAAAGATGTACATCTTGTTATTTATTTATAATTTTTTTAAACACTTGAGAAAGACCTGAAATTTGTGGAATTTTTCCTAATTCCCTAGTCAAAGCCTTATTTTACAACGCTTAAGTCACTTTTGCCTTAGATTAATAAATTATTCAGATGCTTCTAATAATTTTTATTTGAGTCAAATAATTTTATTGTCTGGTTTTCCACTGAAAAGGTGGAAAAGGAGTCAGAGGTTTTAGATACTGTAGATACTGTAAATATATGTATGAAATGCTTAAATTTATTGCATTTAGAAAAAGCCTTTACCACAGTGACTGCCAAATACTTCTGTAACACCTCACTGTCACCATGGAAATGTTTTCACAGGCATTCATATACAAACTGCCTTTTAATTCAAGGCCCAGCAATGGCACTAAGGCATTCAAATTCTATTCTAGACATCTCCTAGAGCTCAGGGGCCACAAGTAGTATGTTAAGCATGTGCAGGGAAGCACAGATAACAGTGGGACTCTGCACCTTAGCAGATAGGTTAGATAGACACACAGATAAAGAGCTACAGATAGCTCTTTATCTGTGTTTCACAGTCATCTCTGCATAACCAATGAAGAATGGAGCGTCTCACTATTAAAGATCCCCTTACATTAAAGATGTAGTTTGAAAAGATACTTTGCGTAATGCTACTGACTCAAGCTAGTTCTTGAGTTTGGTTGGTTTTTTTTGTTTTGTTTTGGTTTGGGTTTTTTGTGGGTTTTTTTTTTTGGTGTTTTTTTGTTTTTGTTTTTGTTTCATTTTGTTGGAGAGGGGTGGGGATGGGGGGGCTGTTTTGTTTGCTTGTTTTGTTTGTTTGTTTGGTTTTTTAGTAGCAAGAGAGAGGATGGTGAGGAGTGCAAGAAGTTATCAGAAGCAGAAAGTTCACTGTTTTCTCATATCTACACAACTGATCCAGGATATGACTGGAGAGCACTGATGGTGGAGAAGTCTGTTCAATTTTGTTTCCAGGTGTGACATGTGAATAAGAAATGATTGCCAAATAATTAAGAACATTAATTCAACTTCCAAGCAACAACTCCTGGCAACTACAATGGGGGGAAAAATGGAACTAGGGCTTCCAGCCTACATGTCTAGATCTGGACTTTCACTGCCCACCGGGGTCTGCCATTTCCCAAAAGGAGAGACTGCAAATGATAGAAAAAAGTCAGGGCACAGGTGCTCAGAAACAGCCAGAGCAAGTCTGTATTATGCTTGCAGAACTCATTCAAGACACATTCAGCTAGTCCAATGCATCCACTTCAGACCATCTAGACAGCATCTGACGATTCCCACACTAACAAGATCTCATGACCCAAGTATTACAGCGTCACTTATGCAATGTGCCATAGTGTTTGAGCTTTCCTATCTTGTCTCTTAAGGGACATACAGGGAAAGTGCTGACTTGCATACCTTACCAAAGCATCACTTGTTGAACAATTTTTCTAAGGAATGTTTTCAAATAGGGTGTAGTAGATCTTATTATTAGCAGTATCTTGTATTACCAGTATTAAGTATCATAACAGCATTCCAGGAGGATCACCCAAAATAAAACTAGAATTACAGCTGTTAATTAATAAATAAAACTGTGAAAGTAGAACAAAGTCAAAAGAGGCTTGTGAGTGACACAAGGGAAGTAGCGGGAACCTCTTAGTCCCTTTTTTCCTGCCACAACCTTGCAGGACAAAGCAAACAAGACAGCAAAGAGCCTGCAGAGAAGGGATGCAATCTCCATCACAGTCCTTTATTGGACATGATGGGGAATACAGTTACCAAAGGTGAGGAAAGCTGAGGTATTTAACACCTTCTCTGCCTTAGTCTTCACCAATAAGAGAGGTCATCCTCAGGACAACCAGCCTCCTGAGCTAGTACACAGGGACACAGAGCAGAATATATCCCCTGAAATCCACAAGGAAGCTGTTAATGACCTGATGAGCCACCTCCATGCTCACAAGTCTGTGCGACCAGGTAGAACCCATCCTAGAGTGATGAGGGAGCTGATTCACCAAGCTGCTCTCCATCATTTATCATCAGTCTTGGCTAACCAGGGAGGTCCCAGATGAGTGGAAGCTAGCCAGTGTGATGCCCATCCATAAGAAGGGCCAGAAGGAGGATCCAGGGAACTACAGGCCTGTCAGCCTAACCTCAGTGCCCAGCAACATTATGCAACAGTTCATCTTGAGTGTGACCACATGGCACCTACAGCATGGCCTGGGATTCAGACCCAGCCAGCATGGAGGGGGGGCCAGCCATGACTAACCAACCTGATCTCCTTTTATGACCAGTTGACCTGCCTGGTAGATGTGGGAAAGGCTGTGGCTGTTGTCTACCTGGACTTCAGTAAAGTCTTTGACACCATCTCCCACAGAATAATCCTAGAAAAGCTGACAGCCCATGGCTTGGACAGGTGCACTCTTTCCTGGGTTAAGAACTGGCTGAATGGCCAGGCCCAGAGATTGGTGATGAATGGTGTTGGATCCAGTTGCTGGCCTGTCACTAGTGATATCCTCCAGGGATCTGTGTTGGGCCAAGACCTGCTTAATATCTTTACTGATGATCTGGATGGAGGGGATCAAGTCTACCATTAGCAAATTTGCAGATGACACCAAATTGGGTGTGAAAAGAAATCTGCTGGAGAGCAGGAGAGCTCTACAGATCATCCTGCATAGGCTGGATTGATGGAGCGAATCCAACAATATGAAGTTTAACAAGACCAAATGTCAGGTCCTGCACCTTGGTCACAACCACCTCCTGCAGAACTACAGGCCAGGGACAGCGTGGCTGGACTGTGGCCAGTCAGAAAGGGACCTTGGGGGTACTGACTGGCAGCAGCCTGAATATGAGCCAGCAGTGTGCCCACCATGGCCAAGAAGGCCAATGGCATCCTGGCCTGTATCAGAAATAATGAAGCCAGCCAAATAAAGGAACTGATTCTTTCTCTGTACTCAGGACTGGTGAGGCCACACCTTGAGTACTGTGTTCTGGGCCTCTCAATTTAGAAAGGGTGTTGAGATGCTGAAGCATGTCAAGAGAAATGCAACAAGACTGGTGAAGGGTCTGGAACACAAGTCCTATGAGGGGCAGCTGGGGAAGCTGGGATTGTTTAGCCTGGAGGAAAGGAGGCTCAGGGGAGAGACCTTATCACTCTCTACAACTGTCTCAAAGGTAGTAGGTGGGTGGGTGTTGGTCTCTTCTCCAAGGCAACTGCAAGACAAGAGCAGTGTTAAGCTGCAGCAGCGGAGGTGTGGGTTGGATATTAGGAAAAAGTTCTCAGCAGAAAGAGTGATTGGGCATTAGAAAGGGCTGCCAAGGGAGGTGTTGGAGTCACCATCTCTGAAGATGCTTAAGAAAAGATTGGATGTAGCACTTAGTGCCATGGTCTATTTGATAAGGTAATGATAGGTCATAGGTTGGACTCGATGATCTCAAAGGTCTTTTGCAATCTGGTTTATTCTATTATTTCAGATCACCTTTTGCTCTGAAACAGAGGTTGTTTTAGTTTGGTTTGGGGGGGTTATTAGGGGTTTGTTTTTTTTATTTCTTTTTAGTCTGCTCCATTCTCTCTCTCAGAGGAAAAAAGTCCAAATTTCTCCATTGCTTATTCATGTATTTTCATGTATTTCTGTTTCTCTCTTTTTTAACACTTTCCTTGCTTTATTGCACTCAGAGACAGCATAGAAAATCCCATTCAGCACTGGTGCATCACAGGCTAGAATGAAATAGGAGTCGTTCACTCACATCTGAGTTGTTGCTAAATGACTAACAGATCAAGAAGCAGCAAGATGGAAAAAAAGGTAGTTCTGAACATGCATAGGATGGAGATCAGCTATATTTGGGCAGCTGTTGTAATCCAGTAATCTTTTGGAACATGAAAACTGCCCTTGTTCCATGGTTTGAGGGAAAACAGGAAATCCATTTCCTCACCACTAGAATACAATTCACATTACTCAACATTGCACCTGTTGCAGTGCATATTCAGTAACCAATGGTCCTAAAAGCAACGGTGACCAATTTAGTATCTCACAGGCAGTTTTGAGTAGGTAACTGTATTAGCTGCAATTCTGACCTAAGTCCTTTTTATTTCAGGCACAATCAGAAGCAAGTGACACAACTTCCATTAGGATCAGCCTGTATGAATCAGTTCTTGAGACAGATAGCACTAACTCCTTCCAAATCTGCTTCTGATAAACAGCAGCACTTATTGCTCTAATTGCAGTTTGACTGCAATTCACAAGTGCAATCTACATTCAACACAGGAATCTTGGGATCTTAACAGGAGGCTGTGGAGTGTGTGACTCCTCAAGGAAGAGCACCCAGTTCTGGCTTCAGAATTGAAAGCAACACCTTTGTGGTAATCAAGGAACTGCAGAAATGCAGATCATATGCACAAAACATAGTTCCCAGGTGTGAGCAACTCTACAGTTTTTGAAACTAGCCTGAAAGACATAGCAAGAGCTGCACTGAGCCTTGTTAGCGTGTACCTCTCTGTCCTATACTCCATCGCCCAGTAGACACTGGTGGCAGGTTTTTGGGTTTGTTATTGAGCTCCACAGAAAAAGGTATCATCAGGATACAAATATCACCACAAGTGTTGCTGACAGACAATTTTTATAGTGAGTTTTTAGAGCTGATCAAAGGTTCTCATTGCATGAGAAAGTGTTAGAATTTGGTTGGGCTGAGGTACATGTTTTTTCCTTACCCTTTTTTTCAACAGTTCCAGGTACAGAGCTTGTAACAACTGGGGAGTGTTCAAAGAGGCCTGAGCTGCAGTAAGAACCTCAACTTCTGCTGACCTGGGTTCATGTGTCTGCTCTGCAATACAAAGACTCCATGACCCTGGAACTGCACATTGCTTAGTGAAAGGACCTCAGAGAAATGAAGTACAATAGAACAGAATTACATGTATTCAAGTACTGGCCACAAACAGAGAATGGCCATGGTATAGCAGGAAATAACTGCTAAACATTTAACAGATTAACTTCCCTTTCACTGTCACTTTTGCCTCTGCACTTCTGCCAATGCAAGAGCAAGGGCAAATTAGATGCATGGAAAAAGTGACGCAAATAACATGGGGAAAAGATCTGCTCCACAGAATCAGACTAAAGGTAATTTCACTCCTTTTTATGGCTGCAGCAGTAACCAGGAGAAAGAAGAATAGAAAGAATACATAAGTATCCTTTATGTATTCTCTGCTATTTATTCTTCCCAAATGTGTGGTCCAGCGACTTTCTGAGCCTCCAGCTGAATCCAAAGTGCAATGGAATCACTTCACTCTGGAATCTATCTTCCTTCAATTTCTCTAATCCATCCTCAAATGTATTTCTGTTGTTTGTCTTGAGAGCCACTGTTGGAACTAAGATTTTTTTTAAGCCCTTGTCCATTCCTAGCATTGTTGTCAGACTTCAGCTGTCTGTAGGTTTCTGTGCAAGCCAATTCAAATATTTTTGCTGTAGAGAAGTGAATGGAGGTCAGCATTTCCAGATCCCAGCACTTGTTATGCTCAGATAAGTGGAATGAATTATAATTTGGATGTACTCTGTCCCTACCTTAAGTTAAGAAGAAAGCTTAGACAGTACAATATTACGTGAAATGACTTTCAATAAATGTGTGTTGGCAAATTCACACAGAAGATCTGTGGCAGAGTGAAAAACCCAGCCTGGGTTTGTCATTCATCCTCTCCTTCATCCTAACATAACTGTTAAAAAACTTCACTTACCCTCTGTTCCTAAATAATCCAAAGTCTTTACCTTTATTAGTCTACCCATATCAGATTAAGTGTATCTACAGTGTTAACACGTTCTACTGTGCATAATCATTATCTCATTAATAAGCAGAAACTCTTGTAAACTCAATATATATTCAGGATACCAAGTCTTTTACTTACCACAGTGCCTGTCTTGAAAAGGAAGTAATGGACTGTCTGTGAGACATCTGCAGCATGCATTAGGTTGTGATAAGGATTTTTGTGTTTACTGTAGCCAAGCTCCAGAGCTTCCACAAAAGACACCAAGGCAGATATGGGAATCTAAGTAAAGCAGGACAGAATTAAAGAAAGAAAGGAAAAAAAAAAAACCAAAAAAAGCATCACCAAACAAACAAACAAAACCAAAACAAACAAACAAAAAAAAAACCCAAAAAATCATCAGCTTTAATGGCTAGCATTCAGACTGGAGTATTTTGATAATAGGTTCTCAAAGAGCCACCTGTACTTCACAAACAAACAAAATGCTAAAATATTTGAAATAGCCACTAGAGAGAGAGTGAATTCAGGTTACTCCTTCAAATGGGTTTTTCCATCCATAATTATATTACACGTGAATCCTTCTCACAAATAAATACACAGAAATAAGTATACTATGAAATGTTGTCTGGAGCACACAGAGTATGAAAAGTAACAGCAACTGCTGGATTGATTGCCATGGAGAAATATTTCCAAATACATTGCAAGCAACTGCCTGTTACCTTCACGATCCATTGGAATGTATCTCTGCTTTACCATTCACATTTAAAATTTTCTAATGAAACACATGATATAGCAAATCCTAGATAGTCTAAGTGGACTATAATTTATCAGACCTCTGGGTTTTCACAGCAAAATCCAGCCTGCCCATCCAATGGGATTGCCATGTTTTTCTGACTTTAAGAGTAACTGCAATTACCTGAAAAATGCAATTCTGGGGATTTCCAGAAAGGAAACTATGCAGGTGGTAACATATGTAACTGACAACATGGGTTCTCCAGTTTCATCTGATCAGACAGTAAATATATTAAACACTAAGGTTTCCATATAAAAGATCAGTGCTTTTCTCCTCTTAGGTACGTTTAAGCAGAGGATGCAGTTCTAAGCAGAACTCTTGATGTCTCATCAGGCATAGGCAGTTCCTGAAAAATTATGGTATCTAGGCTTCTGTAAACTCTTTCCAGTTCGAAGTGAGTTGGGAACCCCTGGGAAATGGAAATGTCAACAGTGGAAGGGATGACAGATTATCTGCGTGGGGAGAGTGGTCAAGAACTGGATGGCAATGTTTCCTCTTCAAAGGTGGAGGAAACCTCTGTAACAATTACAAAATCATAGAATAGTTTGGGCTGGAAGGGACTCTGAACAGTCACCGAGTCAACCTGCCCTGCAATGGACAGGGACATGTTCAACTAACCAGGTTTCTCAGAATCCAATCTGATCTTGAATGCTTCCAGGGATGGAGCACCTACCACCTCTCTGGGCAACCTTTTCCAGTGTTTCACCACTCTCACCGTAAGAAAATCTTCCTTATACCTAGTTTAAATCGATCCTCTATTAGTTTAAAATCATTAGCCCTTGTCCTACTGCAACAGGCCCTGCTATAAAGTTTTCCCCCACTTTTCTTATACATCCCCTTCAAGTACCAGAAGGATGCAATAAACAATCCACAGAACCTTCTCTTCTCCAGGCTTAAAATCGTTGACTCTGTTGGCCTTTCCTCACAGGGGAGGTGCTCCAGGCCTCTGATCATTTCTGTGGCCCTCCTCTACAATGCCTCCAACAGTCCATGTCTTTCCTGTGCTGAGATCTCCATACTTGGATGATCTGGATGCAGTACACCAAATGGGGTCTTATGAGAGCAGAGTTGGGAGTAGAATCACCTCCTTTGACCTGCTGACCAATGTAATTGGAATGAATTTGAATTTGCTTTCATATTCTTCTGTTCTCTTTTGTGTTTGTATGCTTGAGGGTCCTATGAAGCTCAGGAAAATGACACCATCATTCTCAGAGGACCAAATGTAGTATTTCCGATGGATTTCATTTGGAACCCCACCTACCCACCTATGGTATGTCATATAAATTGACAGTACTACTTAAATCACATCTGGTTTTGCTTATTAGGGAAAGTGCAATGTTCACAAATTCTTCAAAGATCACTAAAATTGCATTTTTAATTGAAAAAAGCAGGATGAGAGGGAAGTTGATAAAAATTCAGGATGAATGAAGATAGCCATCTTCTAACTACTGACCTTGAAATGGTTGATCAGATCATAGCGTGTGAGAAGTTCATAGAAAATTAATTTCAGTGCATGATCCCCACTGGCATCATTTAGTGCAACACATCAAAGGACCACTTGTCTACATTCTGCAAGAGGAGGTAGAAAAGACAGTTAATATGGTTATCATTTTTACCATGATCATTCAATTTCTTCACTTCCTCTCACAATTTGAGACTTTCAGTAGTGTTATAAAGGTATAATTTATTTTTCCATAAATTCTTCATAATCCATTTAACCAATGAATATCAGTATACTTATTAGTACTGTGTGACTTCTGTTTAAGAAGCTTCCATTAAGAACACGTATGCTGTTTGTTTATTCTAAACACAGCAATTTTCTACACTAGAATTTAAATGCCAAAAGATAAATCCTAAAAGATAAAAATCCTGACTTGCTTTAGTTCCTGAGACATTGAGATGGTCCTATTTAGGCTGATGTGATACATTAAGTGCTAACAATTATATAAAATTCTAACCTTTATAACAGAAGAATAAATATCTAATTCCAGTTGGGAAAGTTACAGTCAGCTGTAAATTACATACTAGTGTTTCAGGCTGGTCAGTCAAGAGATCAAGGAGGGGAAGTTCACCTCTCAGCTCCTACATCTAAAGTTTAAGGTCTAACCTTCTTGCAGAAGTTTCAGTTTGAATCTCAAATGTTAGGGAAGGCTGTGGGTGGCAGCATTCATTATCTAGGAAGAGATTAAGAGAAATACTAATTATTTCTAAATGCTCCATTTCCACGCTTTCTGTCTCTTCTTAACCTTTGGGGACTTGATATACAAGTCAACAAGCAAATTCAGGGATAGATGTTATTCTGCTCAACATTACTGGAAGGCACAACATTTTTGTAGCCACAGATAAGCAGAAGTCTATACTGCAGACATTGCAAGTCACTACAGGTTCTGTGTTCATAATCTGTATATTTGCTAGCTAGAAAATATTCCTGTCAAAAAAGGCTGAAAAATTCAATTCTAAACCATGTAACTCCTTCAGCAGTAATTAATGCAAAGTTCAGTCTCTAGTTTAGTGACTGAAGAACAGCGTACTCTGTAAATATGTTTCTATAAACGGTTTGTATAGCCACTATTCAAATGAAAGACGAGGCTGATTGTCCTTTTATGGCAACCACTCACACCCATGTCATACAAAAAGGCAACAGATTACTGCAGCAGAAAAATTTTTGTTGAGGATTTTTTGCAGGTTGAGGAGCTGTTGCAAGACAATGGCCACATTCTGCCGATGCACAATCCAGCCTGCTGGTAACAACGGATAATGGACATATTCAGAAACTGGGTGGGTACATCCTTGAGAAAGATACAAGAAGAAGAGTCATCAAGACTCAGCAAGTTTGTCAGCAAGTTTGAGAAAGTGATAAAAAAAGAGAAGCAAAGGGTAAGCCAGACAGCAAGGCATGTGAAAGTCAGATGATCCAATGAGCATTCTATTTTAGATGTGTGAACAGCTGGAATTAACCAATCATGTATTAGCTAGAGACATGTGAACAGTAGAAACTTATTATAAATATAGCCTTTTTGGGACAATAAAGTTGGCTTCACTTGATCATATTGATCACGAGGTGACGTCCCATTCCTGATCCTCCGCACTGGAAATTAGTATAAAATATATGTAAAGAGAGAGACATGCTGTGCACTCAATTAAAAAAAAAAGTGCCAAACTTCTCATGCACTGAAAAAATGGGACAGATTATGTATCTAAAACTTGTGCTGCTACAGCCTTCATTTTTATTTTCCAGAAGCTGTAGTATTTAATTCTTTTTAAAACCAACCTTTGTCACAAAACTGTGGTTCCACAGCTTTGAGTTATTAAGTGCAGATGTCCTCTTGATCACAGCATCAAAAATGAGAATTTGTAGTTAAAAATTAAGCTTGTTTTGGCTGCATTTCATCTCAATCCTTGTCCTTATTATCATGATTCTGAGGGGAATGTTGATTATGGCAATCCAGAACAGCTGAAGATGTGTGTGTGTGGTACACTCCTGCCACCCTTTTGCATGCTTAAATCATCAAGTCATTTTACAGAGCACACTAAGCAGTCAGGTCACTGTAAGGGTTTTTTAATTGACCTTACTGGACTGACACAAGCAACAAAATACACCATTTTCAATGGAGGATATGGAACTGAGAAATTTCAGACGAAATATGTTTTCTAGGACAGAAGACTTCACAGAATCATAGAATATGCTGAGTTGGAAAGGACCCACAAGGATGATCAAGTCCACCTCCTAGTCCTTCACAGGACATTCCCAAGAGTCACACTATGTGCCTGACAGCATTGTCCAAATGCTTCTTGAACTCCATCAGGCTTGGTGCTGTGATCACTTTGCTAGGGAGACTGTTTTGACCTCTTCAAAGTAACTCCCATTTCAACCAAACCCTATACCAAACCCAAAAACATCCAGACAAAGACATGTTATCAAAAGAGTTTTGGAAAAAAAAATAAATATATTCTAGATGCACAGTTGACCAGGCAGATGCTATTCCACTCTGAGCAAAATTAGTCAATCATTTGGTTGTTATTGGTTTGTTTTAACTGTCCTGGCTTGTAAAATAAGCATGTATTCTATTTTTGCCATCTGTTGGGGGTTAGGCAGTTTTTCTTATCTCTTTCAAGAACAATGACACTGCCAGGAAGATAATCTCCTGCTAATGGGCTATTGAATTACTCACTGTGGCTGGTAAGATTAGTTACATCATCCCATTGGGAGATGCTCCACCCAGAGGGAGGAGCCAAGCATCCCTGCCACCATAAAACAAGCATTTCTGAGACCACAGACAGCCTTCTTCGCTGGATTTCCCAGAGGAATCAGGAACCAAGGCCCAGCTGCTCCTTCGCCGCATTTTCAGAAAGGATCTACACCCTTCTGCAGATCGCCGCTCCAGGAGGAGCAGCCACCATCTGGCTGGACTACTATCAACACCCTGACTTCTCAGGGTGTCAGGTTTTTTCTCACTCTGCCAGTGTTTTTTTTTTGCTTGTGCTAAATGACATTGTTATTTAGTTTTTTTTCTTCCTAGTAAAAAACTGTTATTCCCATTCCCATATCTTTGCCTGAGAGCCCTTTTAATTCTGAAATTGTGATAATTCGGAAGGAGGGGGTTTACCTTTTCCATTTCACAGGAGGCTTTTGCCTTCCTTCACAGACTCCTGTCTTTTCAAACCAAGACATTAACTTAGAGTTTTAACATGATCACTTGTTTTTACAACCTAATCATTTGAAAACATAGAAAAAATTGAGGAATTCTATAAGGCTTAAGTCAGTTGAGAGTAGGCGATGAGTCTTCAACTGTCTTGTTACTGCTGAGCAACCGAGGAGAAGAGGTACCATTATAAACATCTTCTCTCATAAGCTGCTATGGAGTGTAGTTGCAAAATAACAAATTTGCATCCCATTTCAGGAGTTAAGTTAGCACTTGTCAACATGCTGTTGGAAAAAGGTGTGGGTGGATATTTTGAATCTGTATATGAAGGGCATGTTTGATCATTCTTCTTGCAATTCCACCACATCTTTTGATGAGTTCTACAATTCAAAATGAAAAGGATAGCCTAACTGCAAATCTTTCCAGTGTAGAGAAATGCTGCAAGATGTCTTCATGAGTTTTATACTTAATACCTCTTGCTTAAACTGCAACCCCTGGTGCGAGGACACGAGGCTTGACTCCATTTTCATCAGAAGGCTGATTTATTATGATATATATTATACTAAAATACCACATGACAGCTGTACGAAAAGAACAGAGAGAATAGGATCAGAAGGCTACAAAGACAAGAATAGAACAGGAATGAATAACAAAAATCCTGTGACTGCTCACAGCCTTGGCACAGGTGGCTGTGATTGGTCACTGATTGAAAACAATCCACATGAACCAATGGAAGATGCACCTGTGCCCTTCCACAGTAGCAGATAGTTATTGTTTACATTTCTTTCCTGAGGCCCTCAGCTCCTCAGGACAGGAAAAATCCTGGCAGAGGCTTTTTCCCTAAATTATCATGGCAACAAATACCTCTGTGTATTGCTCCACTATATCACCTTTTTTCACTATTGCATGGCATGGCTGAACCACATGCAACATGTAATCTGCAAAGCTGCTGTGTACACAGCTAGTTGTCAACTTCTGTTTGTGGTCTTGATAATTCCTGCCTAAGTCAAGAATCTTGCAATTGGCCCATGGGTTGAAGCATTGTTTATTTTTCAGACTACTTCTGACTAACTGTTTTCACTCTGAAACCTCAAAACTCACAGAAGGGTCCATTTTTATAAAGTGATTGTCACTTTGAAGACGTGAAGCTGAACAATGCATAAATTCTTTTCTCTCACAGCAACAGATCCTTTCCTTTCTCCATCTCTCCCCATCTGTGTTTTCTTTCTTCCTTGTGAAATGTTGTGAGTGATTCCTAAATCTTCATTTTAATCACTGTAATCTAGAACAAAATTGCAACTTTCACAACCTGAAAATGAATGAAGTCTTCAACTTCATTCTTTCTTGTATTGAAAGGATAATCCCTTAGGCCAGTTAAATGATTAATGTATGTGAACTAACTGAATGTCAGAGACAAAGATAGACCAAGTATTAAGACCCCCGTTATCACGTCAAATACCACAGTATTATTTTCATGATTTGTACAGACCCCCCTTCAACACCTTTTTTTTGGGATTACCTTTAGCACTCCAATTACAGCTGGTGGGTAGCTCAAGCCTACCATATTTGAAGTACGCCTGTACATTCTACCAAGATTAAATAGATAAAGCAACACATAAATAGAATTAAATGAAACAAAACAAGCAATCAACAAAACTTGTAAAACAACAGACCATTACAGGAGACCTCGTTTAGCCCAGAAAACACTAACGGGAATATGGACCTTTTTTCCTTCCATCTTGTTTCTAACTTGCCCACTATTCTCGATACTGTTCTTGTTGTATAGTTTAATTTGAGATTGTACACTCCCCAGTATCTCACAGCTTGGTTACTGAGCTGAACATGACAAAGAATTTGTCAGCACCAGGTCTTTATCAAATGGAAAGGCTACACTCAACTCAACAAAATGTTCCCCATTTTGTATTGCACATAACTGTACTGACCTTTCAGTTCCCTCAGTCCTTGCTGGCCCACGTGCAAGATAATTCTGAGTGTACTTCAGAAACCATTTGTATGAAATGAATCAACTCCAGTATAATACAGCTACTACTTTTGTGTACATGTTTTCAAGATTACTATAAAACCTTTTCAGTATTTGCCATGTGTGTGTGTTTCAGGAAGTGAGAGAAAAAGAACAAGGCAATAGTCAACATCTGTAACCATATTAAACAAAGTATGTAATATACCAGATTTTAAACTTGATTATAAAGTATATTTCAAACAGATTATAAAGTATGTACAAGTTTTTCAAGTTGTTTTCAGGACATACTCTGTTTAATAGGATTTGATGAATGCAGAAACTCTGTCATAGCTAGAATCTCTTCCCACAGGTCACTCTTTTTTTGCCCTAAACCACTGTAGGACTAAAAGGAGATGATGGAAAGTTCTCTTCTCCCATCTGAAATGATCCTGTGCAAAGTCTTAATTCTCCTAAGAGACAATTGAGGCAGAAGCCCTTTCCCTTAGTTCAGGAGAGTCACAGAGTCACAACCCTCCTCCAGTGCCATATTATATCTGAACACTTCCTTTTTTGGGTCACAGTGATCCAAGTCAGCTGGAAAACAGCCCACTGAGCCAGCTTTCTGCATTTACTTCCTTGTTGAGCAAATCCTCCACAGAATGAGGATTAATTCACAACTAGCTTGTCAAACCTTGGAGAAATCGGTCCCAAGGAGAAATTAGAGGTTTAATCTTATTACAGTTTGCTGCCACTCTTAACATATGTACAGTAACTTTGGTGCACAGATAAAAATATTGGCTATAGTCACAACAAAGGAGGCTTCTGTCAGTCTGTGTGGATTGTTGTCCACTGTCTGATGTGCATAACCTCCTGCACAGAGGGCAGGCTGCTGTCACTGCAATTCTGATCAACAGTGAAAGGTTTTCTGCTCTTCCACTCCTGACTTGAATTTTGCTGTTGCAAAATTATATCAGAGATCTGAGAGCTGCTGTCTTTCAGACTGTCCAAAGAATGCTGACAGTTTCACATATGCCAGCCCTCCTCCTGGCTTAAACAAAGAAGGTCAGTGAAGAGTGGTTACTTGACAAGAAAAGGTAAGAGAACAAGTGAGTCAAAATTAAAATTAATAAATGTTTTAAAGGGTTAAAAAAGTAAAATCAGTTTTAGCAACACGTTGTGATGTAAATCACAAGAGAGAAGGCTGAGAGGACTCAATGAAATACTCTCTGAGCTCCAAAATTTTCACATCAGTTTTGATCTATAGTTAGCTCCAGTAATAATACGGTAAAGGACTTTGTTCTGTATTTTAGAACTTCTTCATATGAAATACTAGACCATGGAAGCAAATGGAAACAAGGAAGAGTCCAAATTTTAAATGCTGTCACTCCTGACCTAGGACTATGCAGAAGTGTATATTGTCCATCCACATTATACTGAGTGTGCTATTACATTTGCAGTACAGTAAGAACAAAGGACTAGGTATTGTTTCAGTTTGCAGTATTTTACTAAATCCCAGGTTTTTAGGTGTTACCTAAAACTTGGGATTTAGTAAAATACTGTGTAGAAACATTAACAGAAGCACATTAAAGTGTTCTTCATTCATCAGTCTTCCACTAGTCCTCTGAGGTCTTCTGGCCTAAGGTACTCTTCTCCACCTCCTATCATTGTGCCATCACATACTATAGGTGAAACCTGCAGTACCTGGGTAGATGGTAAAGTAATTGCATGACACTTTACCTTTCCACAAATATCCCAGCTTGCACTGCATGGACAATACTCCTTAACTGGGTTTTTTCCTCAGTCCTTTTGAGCATCATCCCCATTTGCCGTGTGAAGGTAGAAGCCAATCAGTCACGGACCTCTGAGGGCAGAGAGTAAGACTGGATATCACTGAGCTCATCTTCTGTGTCCAGTAAACGCCTAGAAGGATGAGGGAACAGAAGGGTAAACAGAGTTCCTTAGAGAGCATTACATTATTAAAAAAGAAACTCACATGTATTCTAATTAAAGCAGCTGTTAAAAGTCTTTTTCATCAGTCCTAATAAAACACACTAGTACAAGTCTTCAACTGTTTGTTTATTCTCTTACGTACTTACATTTCAGATTGTGGAACTCACTACTAGGCTGAGAAACAAGATGTATCGGCCTTCTGAAGCACAACTATATGATTATCTACTGATTTTACATCTTCAGCTGATCGATATTTCTGAACTTTCTGCCTTTTAAAGGCAATTTATGGTCATTTCTAGGAATTTCTAGCACCTGATTTAGTAACACACAGTCCTCTCCTCTCCCATTCTCGTCATCTGTGTTGACTCTAGAAGTGCATTAATCACTGGGTAAATGGCATGTAATCAAGAGGGGGGAACTCCTCTGCAATGTCATACCAGTCAACCTCTGCTCATGAGGTTGCCTTTTTTTTTGTTCTTGTTTTTTTTTGTTGTTTTTTTTTGTTTTGTTTTGGTTTTTGGGTTTTTGTTTTGTTTTGTTTTGTTTTTATTTTTTTTTTATATTTCAAATACATCATACAAGTGAAAAATTTAAGATTATTCAGAAGAAATAGTTGAGTAGAAATTTAGAAACTCTCAGGAAAAGTAGGCTGCAATGACTATGAAAGCATTTCTCTAAAAAAAAAGTGTATTACATTTATGCTTGGTTTTGATCTCCTTCCCCTTCCCAGAAAACTTAAATAACCTTTTAAATGAAGGACTGAAGACCTCTTCCACACAGAATACAATATTCTAATGTTTAAAACCATACTGTCTACGAGTAGTAAATCTTGGCTCAACCAACTTTCACAACTGGCATGTAAATTACAACTGGTGCAAGATATGAGTGCTGATGTCTGTAGTTAGCTCACCTAGTTTCACCAATGTATACTGACTCAAGAACAGTCGCTGCATATTCCAAATTCTTCTTTAGATCTAAAACTGAAGCTTCCCCTCTCTCTAATTGCTTTACCAAAGACTGTAATCTAAAGAAAGAAAGAAAACAAAAATCTGATTAGTATAAAGCAAATTAGGTTGAGAGTGAGTGTCAGTTCCTAGGATGAGACCTTGCATACACCTTGAAAGGTGTGAACTTCTGGAAGTCTAGAAGTTTTTTTAATTTTTTTTTTCATGTTGATACATGATATCAACAAAAATTAGTTTTCAAAGATCAGTTACAATAATGCTAGGCAAATATACATAATTCCATGGGTTATCACAGAATCATACAATCACAGAATGATAGAATATGCTGAGTTGGAAGGGATCCATCAGTGTCACTGAGTCCAACCTCTGACCCTACACAGGACACCCCAAGAATCACAACATATGCCTGAGAGCATTGCCCAAAGGCTTCTGAATTCAGACTCCTTGAGTCCTGTCACTAATCATGAGAGGGAAGAGATTAGTATCCACCCCTCCACTTTCCCTCAAGAGATTGTTGAAGACTGCAATTTAAGGTCTCCTCTTAGTCTCCTCTTCTCCAGTTTGAACAGATCATGTGGTCTCAGTCACTCTTTGTAAGGCTTCCCCTCCAGATCTTTCACCATAATTGTGGCCCTCCTATGGACACTTCCTAATAGTTTAATATCTTTCTTATATTGCGGTGTGCAAAACTGCACACAGTTCTCAAGGTGAGGCCATACCAGTGCAGAGCAGGGCAGGACAATGACTTCCATTAATCAGCTGTCTGTTCCCTACTCAAAACTGAAATAAGTAAAAATAGAAATTACTTGCAAGTTATCACAGGAGCTAAGAGAGGACAATTTCAATTCAGCTATAAGAAGGAACTTCTTGAATAGTATCTGTTAACAAATGACTGTTATTCCTAATGATTGATGTACACATGCAAAACTCTATTAGAGTATATTTAGAAACACTATTGTAGAAATATTATACAAGGTTAGGAAATGCTATGATTTTCATTAGATCAAGCAGCCACCTTATATCTTGTGTATATTAAACATAATTCAATAATTTCACATTCGAACAGTAAGCATTGCTTCATATGCCTCCTCATTTCTTCACTCCATGTATGGGGAGTCTGCAGATACAACAACTTAACTAGCTACCAGAAACATTGTACACAAGCCACAGCAGTCAATTTTACAGAAAGAACATGACCTTTGGCTCTTCCCAACTTTTACTTAATTTATATAAGTATTTGGCAGCTTTATGCTGCAACTCATTCAAAACTCATGTTCAATATTAGCACAGCAAGTAATGATTGCTTCATGGAACCAACATTTTTCATTGAAGATTTTGCAAAGTACTATGTGCATCAATCTTTTAGAAAAACAGTACTGTTGTCTTTGGGAACTGAATGAGCAAATATAAACAGTTTAAAGGTTTGGTCATGTTTTGGGGTTTTTTTTTATTCAAGTCAACTACTTCACCTAGCACAAACCTTTTATAGAAATTAGGTACACAAATCTTCATGGAAGTCACTGGGATGGATATCAGTGATAAACCACCTGTCTGTCATATACTTCCTCAGGAAAGTGTGCACTCGTGACAGAAATGAGCCAGGACATTATCTTAGGTGGTCACTGTGGCTTTGGAAGGCTAAGATGAGGTGACATGACTCATTCCACTGAATAAATGTGAGAGCTGAACAAGGATAAATTTCAGATGTGGGAGAGAAAGAAACACTATATTCTTTTTTCACAGCCAGGAATCTTCTAATCAGTATTTCCCAAAGCAAGCCTTCCTGTTGGCAGACTAGTTCTTTTTGAGATGTTAGTGTGAGTTAGTTATTTGAGGCAACTGTTCAAACACAATACAGTCATTGAATTTGTTGACAATGACATCCAAAGACAACAAATTATATCTTCCAGAATTACTCATTTTCAAACCACTGTTGCCTTTTATAAAAAAACAGACACAAATCTAACAGTTTTTAATTTGCGTCTTTAAAAATAAGTACCTGAAAGAAACTGTCAATAAATATATTTAATATACCATAAATAGGTAATATATGATACATATAATAAAACCATACACAAGAAGATCACCTGCCCTGGACTTAGGAGAACAGACTTTGGCATCTTTCGGGACCCATGTCATAGAGTATCCTGTGGCAGAGCTCTGGCGAGCAGAATGGCACAAGAATACTGGCTAATATTCAAGGATCTCTTCCTTCAAGCTCAGGAACAATGCATTGTAACAAGACAACATGGGGCAAAAATGCCAAGAGGCATCCATACATGGATAAGGAGGTGCTGAGCACCTCAGAGATAAAAAAAAGAAGTTTACAGAAGGTAGAAGCAAAGACAAGCTAAAGCCCAGTTAGAATTGAGTCTAGCCAGAGTTGTCAAAGACAATAGAAAGAGTTTCTATAGGTATCTTGATAACAAAAAAATTATTAGGGATAATGTGGGCCCTGTCTAGGAGGAAGTCGGAGACCTGGCTACCTGGATAGGCCTGGAATATGGAGAAGACTGAGATTCTAAATTAATTTTATGCCTCAGTCTTCCACAGCAAGTGCTCCAGACACCCTGCCCAAGTCATGAAAGGAAAATGCAAGGACTGCAAGAATGAAGACTCTAAGCCCACTGTAGGAGGGAATCAGGTTCAAGACCATCTAAGGAACCAGAATGTGCACAAATCTATGTGATCTGATGAGATTCATCCATGGGTCCTAAGGGTAGACGAAGTTGCTAAGCTCTTGTCCATCATATTTGAGAACTGGGACAGTCAGGTGAAATTCTTGATGACTGTATGTTGATTTGGCACAGCCTGGGTTTTGGTAGCAGGGAGGGCGCTACAGGGGTAGTTTCTGTGAGAAGCTGCTAGAAGCTTCTACCATGTCTGACAGAACCAATCTCTGACAGCTTTGAAGATGGACATGCTAATGGCCCAATTAGATAGGTTGTTAACACCCCTGTGAAGGCATATACAAAAAAAAAAAAATAGCACACAAGCAGTTTTTGTTCCCAGGGGTGGAGAGGTGAGGCCACTAGGGGCCATCCTGGCACTACCAGCAGTGATGTGCTACTGCAGCCACCACCATCTTGGCACGGCCCCAGAGAGCCTTGTGTGCCTGGCTGCCCCTAGTCAGCCACACCACAGGCAGAAGGGCAGGGGCAGCATTGGCGGCTTCTCCCTCCCAGAGCCCCATATGAAGAGAGGCATTAAATAGCACCAGTGCCACAGCAACCACCACTGCCCACACACTGGTAGCAGGGCTGTCTAGCCAGCAGCAGAAAGATGACAAGCAACTCCTCAACACAGAACTTAGATGAGATCAACCTCTAGGCACTGCAGGATCTTGCAAGAATCTTTGAATTAGTGGAACATGTTGCCAATACCTACAAGCAGCAGCTTTTCTTCCAGTCAGAGAAGAGGAAGAAGTGAGGACATGTTAAAGAAAACAACATGGCGGCACCAAGTTCAGTGGAAAACAATGAAGGGAGAGGAGGTGCTTCAAGTATCACAGCCGAAATTCCTCTGCAGGCTGTGATAAGGACTATGGTGAAACAAACTGTCCCCTTGTAGTACATGAAGTCCATGGGAGATGCAGAGATCCACTTGCAGCCCGTGAGAAAAGTGCTCATGCTGGAGCAAGTGGATGTCAGAGAAAGCTGTGATCCAGTGGGAGACCTGAACAGAGAGAGGGGGACCCTGTTTCCAGAGATAGAGAGGGCCCTTGCTTCCAAACTAGAGCAGCCTATTCTTAGAAGACTGCACTCCATGGACAAGTGATTGACACCACAACAGTTTCGGGAAGAGTATTTGCCCGTAGGAGGGACCTCATGGCATAGCAGAGAAAAGACTCCTCTCTCTGAGCAAACAAAAGAAGATCTCAAGTAATGAACTGACCAAAAACCCATGCCCTGTCTCCCTGCACTGTCAGTGGGAAAAAGGGAGGCGGTTGGGGAGAAATGATGTCTTATATCCTCCTCTGACTGTGTTAATAATAAATTTACTTTATACCTCTAAATTTGAGCCTCTTTTGCCCTTAGAGTGTTTTTCTTCCAATCCTTAACTCATAAGCCCTTTGTTAATTTCTTTTTCCCCTCTCCTCTGCCCAACTACAGTAGAAGAGAGTGAGAAAGCAACTTTTGTAGGTGCCTGGAATCTGGCCAGTATCAAACTATGACAGACTGAAAAAAAGAGAAATATTATTATAAAACGGAAAGTGGAAGATCCAAGAAACTACAGATAATTCAGTCTCACGTCTGTGCCAGGCAAGATCAAGGAGTGTATTCTCCTGGAAACCATGCTGGTGAGCAAAGAGAAGGCTGGTGATAACCAACATGGCTTCACTAAGGGGAAATCATGCCCGAGAAGTTTGATGGCTTTCTATGACAGGGCTACAGAGTTGGTGGATAGGGGCAAAGCAACTGACATTATTTACCTGGACTTGGGCAAAGTACTCCACACTGTCCTGCATGACTTCCTTCTCTCTAAACTGGAGAGACATGGATTTGATAGATGGATCGCTCAGTGATAAAGACTTAGCTGTATGGCTGCACCCAAACAGTGGTGCGGTAATGGCTCATTGTCTACATGGAAACCAGTGACAAGTGGTGTCCCTCAGGAACTGGTGTTGGGGTGAAGGAGTGTAGGAGAATGCCCCCTAATGACAGAGTGGCAAACTAGCCTTTGTCCCCCAAAAAAGGAAGGAAGCCCAGAAGTTTCTCCCAACGATCAGGTGAAAAGCCACCTTATAGGACCCCAGAGACTTCACTAAAACCTTGGGGTCACCTAATTGGATAGAAGCCAAAAAGTCCTGCCTGGGCCATAAGGTAGAAAAAGAGATAACAAAGGAACCACGAAGCTTTTGTGAACGTGTTTCTACCAGGGGCAGACCTCTGTAGCAGGCTTGGATTTTCTGTTTATTATTTTGCCTTTTATTAAACCTTTTTGTTTCTAACACTGCAGCAGAAGCCATCCTGCTCATTCTTCGCCTCCAAAGGTAATAGCTAAGCTATCCTTGGGTGTATTAGGTTCCCTTTTAAAGGCTCATAAAACCCTGGCCGGA